GGGTTCAGCTGGAATGTGGCTGTCCAGTTCATTGACACGCCGCTATGCGTGTGCTTTGAACTTTATGCTTCTTCTTCCTTTGCTGCAGACGAGAAGGTCTCTGATGTAGCTGTCTTGCTTGTCTGCTGCTTTGCGTTATGTCTATAAGACTCAACAGTTGTACAGGGCTAATGTGGCAGGTGCATTATACTTGCTGTGAAACATTGACAGTTTTCAACTTCGATTGCTGCACAGTGGGACTGTCCTACGTACAACGTGAGGATAATGAATTTCCTGAAAGTGCAACTCAGGAAAGTCCAGAACTTGGAGAAGCGTTCCGTAGACTTGGACAAGTTCCATTGGCAGATCGAAAGGGCTGAGAGAATGCTGTCCAGGCATGAACGTCCTTTTGACCTGCTGGACTACCACAGGACAGGGGATGCAGGAGCAGCAGTGGAAACAATATGTGAAGGGCTGAACGAGGTCCTGTGTGAGTGGAATATGCAGAAGGAAGTGGGCATCGAGGTCAGGGTGCCCCATGCCAGTGTTGTCAGCGATGAAAAGGACTTGCAGGATCTTTTACACTATGTTCTGAAAGAAGAGGGTGAAGATGGCCACCCAAGTCGGCCACTGCACTGGGTGTCCAGTAAGCGTTTATATTGCCAAAGAACCAAGTGTGTGGCAATTGTTCAAGAATCTGAGCTTCGTCCTTTGGGAGAATCAATCGGGCTGGGTGGAGGTGGGGTTGTGCACAAGTCAACGTGGGTGGGAAAACAGGTGGCCATCAAAATACCAAAACAGGTGCCTGCCTCCATCGAAACATGTGCAAGCTGCATCAGAGAGGCCACCTTGCAGGCATCCTTGAAGGAGCATGCAAATGTGGTGAAGGTTCATGCTGCTACATATACTGGTTGGTTGGTGATGGAAATGGCCACAAGCGATCTGAAGTCTTTCTGTCGCAACAATTTGAATCTGGGCTGGGCCACAAGACTGAAACTGGCACAGCAGTCAGCTGCTGGCTTGCAACAAATGCACTCCATCGACCCCCCTTTAGTGCATTCAGATGTGAAATCTGCCAATTTTCTTGTTTTTGGGGCAGAAAATGGTGACAAGCTGCAAGTGAAGATTGGCGATTTCGGTCTGGCATTTCAGCAGACTGAACACAGAAGCAAAACTGCTAGACTCGGTGGAGGGACACTGGAGTGGATGGCACCAGAACTTTATTGTGGCCAGCCTGTCACTTTGAAATCAGACATCTTCAGCTTTGGAGTGGTTTTGCATGAAATAGTGACAGGCAAGAAACCGTATCCAATGGGGCTTGAGGCAGTACCATCACTCGTTGTGATGGAGAGGAAATTAAGTGAGAAAGCTCCCTGTGAAGTACATGAGCAGGACTGCCCCAAGCAGATGATACAGTTGATGAAGCGGTGCTGTTCCCTTGAGCCCGCCCAAAGGCCTACCATTCACGAAATCTACGATGTGCTCTGCAGCCTGCCAACAACCTGGACTGTGAGTACTCCCGTTTCTTCCTTCCACATTTTGGCTTTCATAAGCTTCAGCCCACCATCCGATTTCTTGGAGCTTGCTGGGAAGAAAGTGGGGAAGGCTGGGGGCCCTGGGTACACAGATGTGTGTCTCAAGGTGTTGCAGCCATGCAACAAGTACATGCAAGCCCAGTAGTGCCAAGGCTGTTACAGCCACATTCTGGGCTGCAGAACAGCCTGAACAGTTGTTAATGAGAGACCCAGTAGGCCAGATGCAACAGCATTGAGAGCGGAAATCCCCCTGTCAAACCGATGCAGGGGTGCCCTGTGGGTCTGTATGCAATACTATTGTTCTTAACAATGTGGCAACGGTTTTGTGTCAAATGTTGTGTATATCTGTGGTGGGCCATTTAGGCCAACAGGTGATCAAGCGGCCAGACACGGTTACCACACGTTCCTGGTACCCTTGTCTAGGCCATCTTCACCATCTTGTCACGGTGCTGAGCACTGTTAACATTTGATGCTGTAGGACCTGTCCACTTCCACCAAGGGCCAGGCGAACGAAATCCTTAAGGTTGGCAGGTTTCTCTTGAATGGCAACATGGAAATGAGCTACACAAGGCTTTAGAAATCCATCAAACGTGCGGCGTCTGTACAACATTTACATCCTTGTCTGCGATTGTCTTTTGAAACTTTTCCACTATTTCTGGATGGAATTTGTTGCTGTTCCTTCTAACCTGTATTGCGGTCGTTGTTATTCCATTGTTTCCAAGGTTAGCAAATGAAAATGCAGTCAGAGTTCTGACGCTGCAGCCCACCTGAGCTCAGCATTGGCAAAAAGGGACTAAATTACACTTTTTGCGAACACACGTATACGCATTTCATCAGTGTTCTGCATGCTAAAAACACGGAAAAAAAAATGCAAATTCTGTACACGTTTGAACACGTGTTATTTGGCCCTTTTTTCCCTAGTGCAGAGTGGACGGGCTGGGTACTGGGGATGGCAGGTCCTGGACACCTTGCAAATAGGAACCTGGGAGACATGCTACTGGATGCGAGGGAAAGAAGGACACACTCTTGCAAACGGCTGGCATCTGTCATAGCAATTAGTGCCCTAAATGTGCTGCACGCGATCGCTCAGGGGAATGGAGCAGCTCCCTTGTTTGGTGGGCCTGGCTATCTTACTAATTCTGGTGGATCACATGTTGCTTGTTTTGGCAAGCATTCAGTTCCAGCTCTTGCACCAGTAGCACAGAGTTTTCTAAAGAGAACTTTTGTCCCACCACGCAGAAAATTATCTAAGAAATGGATGCAGATATGGATAACAGATGATGCGAATTTTCCAGGGAGGCAATGTGTTGGATTTTTCTATTCAACTTCTCTAGTGAACTTATGGGAGCCAGCAGGATGTGTTCTGAGAGATTTCCTGACGTTACCGCCCAGGGGACCAGCGGTGGATGTTGCCCAGTAGCTCTGAGACTACGTGTTCTGCTCAGAACAAGCTTCGCTGCAGCAAAAAGTAGAGCCGGTGTGTTGGTGTCGATGCGTAGAAGATTAGCTGCATTGCTGCGGCAGTTAGCTTCTAAGATGGACGTACAGGACACAGTTGCTCAAATTGAAGATCCCGTTGCTGGGTCTGTGATTTTCTATGCATGGGTAAGCATCTAGCACATCCCGATTACCTTTTGGACAATGGCATGAGGTTAGGGCTGTGAGCCTACTGGCCAATGTCTGTGCTGTCAGTGTGGATAAATGTGAATGTGAATGCATATACAGAAAGATCATAATAGAATGACACTTATCACAAACTGTGCCTCTCCTGGAATGGTACCCACTGTGGTTCCACACTAGGCACCACAATTGGGTAACACTACATGTCGCACAATTCACCAGTTTCAATTTTTCATATCAGAGAGGCAAGGCCTTGTCTTGTATTTCCATCAAGATATCTCCGATCGCAAATCGTGACCCAGAACTGGCAGGCTCCCAGGAGAGCGCCCAAATTGAAAGTGCCAAGTGCTGCTGGCGCAAATCCAGCAGCACCAACCGGGCTCAAGAGGCAACTTTGGCCGAATAAGGCGAGGCATCTGAGCCAGATGAGAACATCCTGTTTGTCTTTGTGGACCCCCATGTACGTGAAGTCGCACCACATGCTAAACACTGGCCCCCAGATTTTGGAAGAGCAAAGTCATGCCTTGAAGGTGGCGATGTAGGGAGCTGACCCCTGTGCCATGCACTCCACTATTTCCTGTGCCCTCTTCAACTGCTTCAAATGGCGAACACTTGCCTCGTCCTCTTTTCCATCTGCTACATTCACAGCTGTCCCAGAATTTCTGCTCATTTGCTTGCTGTGTTCGCGCCCCAGCCCATTTGTGTGCATGGGTGGGGTGGGGGGTAAGGGGGAGCTTGCTGCACACAGCTGTTAGTACCCCACACCTCACACATTGTGCACCTCTTGTGTTGGGTACTCACAGACCTGCATCCTGTGAAGTAGTCCAGCCAAGTATCAAGTGATATGCACCATTGGTTGCCAGTGTGGTGTGTTTCCTGTTTGTCTTCATCTTTAATTGCATGTACACCAGATTGAGAGGTGAGAGGATTCTACATCGGCAGCAGGTGCCCTGTCACTAGGAAAGTGAACATGGTCTGCAAGTACAGTTAATATGGGTGATATAGGCTGTATGTGGTAGGGAATACTGGTGAAGCTCATAAATATCCATCATCAACAAAAATGTAGAGCAAAACAGGCCAGATTTCTCCGTTCTTTCAATTTGCACCTGGCTGTGCAAAACAAGAAGTGCTGCTTTCTGCTCATTTCTTGAAATTCGGCATTAATAATGTTTGTAGACCAGTAGCCAATCACCGTCCATGCACAAAATATTGTCGAACACTCAGCTTTCGAAGTTTGCTTGAGCTTAATTGAGAAAATGTGGACACAGCTGTCATCCATGATGATTCATACTCAAATCGTGATGTGTTGACATGGTGTGATTGGTAATTTGTTTGTGGTAATAGGTGCAATTTGTGAGTGCAGATGCTGCTGCTTTGTTCAAAGACAAGAAACAGATGTTTTCTTCAGCTCTCTTTCGCACCGTTGTGGAGATACTGCCAGAAGTACCTCGACCGGAATTGACCATTGTCAAAGAATTCAACTGGTCACAGGCCCAGGCAAGGGGGTTTAAAGTTCTGCGCAAATTTCAACAAGAAATTTGATACTCATTTTATCACATAGCAGATTGTGTGTTGGTCATATAATATATTTAGCTGGTGAATCAATAGTCATCGAAGTGAATGAAATGTGCTTGTGTGATTGATACCCTGTGCATTTCAGTTGTTGGGTGCTGTGTAAGTGTCAAATGAAATTTTTGACGTGGGGTTCAGTGTGAGCTCAGCCTCAACACATTTTGCTGCATGTTTCAATTGTCATTTTGTGAGCTTGTTGCTTCATGCTATTGACACCAGTTGTGCGGACTTTTGCTGCAGATTGTGGAGCTGCAAGACGAAGTGCAGATTGTCCAAGAACAGATATGCACAATCATGGATTTCATGTACTGCCATTGTATGCTGCGCTTTTTGCGGGAGACGATCAGTGTATTGCGATGGAATTTTACAAGAACACCTGAGTGCTCTCAAGAAGATGAGTGCAGAAAGGATTTGTCTGCCTTGGTACACATGCTAAAGCTTGCTTTGCAGCTTCTTGAGGACCACAAATTTGTGGATATGCGCTTGTTGCAGAGCAGCGAAGATACCCAAGTGACTGCTGATCGCATACTCAAGGCAATCACTGTTTTTGCATCGAAGTGGAATATGCCTGGGGCTAAGCTGCTTCCAAGTGTTGTGCCTACAGAGTACTGTCAACGTGACAAAGAACAGTTGACTAAGTACTTGGCACATGTGCTTGGGATCGAGTCCTCTTCCTTTGAGGCATCTCCTGTGCATGTCAAGGAAGAATGGGAATTGGCAAAAGAACAGCTTTTGGAGAGAATGACGTGTGAGCTGGCCGTCATACCCAAGTTGGAGATAACTTTTGGAAATCGACTGGGAAGTAATGTGCATGAAGCTAGCTGGAAAGGCAGCAAGGTGGCCACAAGACAGGTTGTCCCAACTGGGGAGCAAGAAATGGACATCGAGAAATTTGCCAAGCTGTACACAAAGGCAGTCGTCCAGATTTCAGCAGAAACAAAATATGTTGTGAAAGTGCATGGAGTCACAAGGTCAGGAGCATTGGTGATGGATTTGGCAAAGTGCAACTTACAGCAGTGGTACCGATCAAGTTGTGCCCTTGTTGCTGCAAAGCTTGTGATGCTGGCCCAAGCAGCACAGGCACTGCTTTCACTGCACAATAGTGGCATTGTGTATGTGCATGTGAAGAGCTCCAATTTTCTGATCTTCGATCAGAATGCTGAGGACTATGAAGATAATCCTGTGAGGCTGGCAATACTGTCTTCAGAGGATAGTGACTTGGATATGGCTCACAGCACCATACAAACGGCACGCTGGATGCCCGCAGAGCTCTATGAAGGTGAGGCCCCAAGCATGAAGACAGACGTTTACAGTTTTGGGGCAGTTTTGTACGAGCTCGTGATGGAGGAGGTGCCATACGGGAGGAGCAGCACCGAAGCAGAGGTGTTGAGAGCTAAACAGAACCGGCAGCCGCCATTTCGAATACCACAGAGAGTGGAGCAATTGTGGCCAGGCGATGTGCTGGACTTGATGATGAGGTGCTGCTCCCACGATCCAGACAGAAGACCTTCCATGAGGGAGGTGCATGAGTGCCTGCAAGAACACTGCCCTCCATCTCAGCCAGCAAGCCAGGAGCACATTCCACTAGTCTCATCTGCTGAGCACCCGCACCCCAGAGCCCAAGGTATCAAGTGGACCGCTAGGCAGCTGCCAGCAGATGCACATTTGAGGGATGAAGACCCCTTGCTAGGACATGAGCGCTACCACACAGTACGCATCTTGTCCTCAACTGACCACGCTCTGCTAGTGGTAGCAGCTGATGCACATCGAGGTGGCAAACTGGTGGCTGTGAAGCTGTTTGTGAGGCAGGGGGATACGAAGGTCAATGTCAAATGCATCTCCACCCATCATCCGCATGTTAGTCGTCTGAGGGAGGTGTTCAGCTGGCGGGGTGCACTGGGCGTGGCGATGGAGCTTGCGGACCGAGGCAACATGCGGGACTACATGACATCTTGCGGGGATTGTGCTCTGGATGAGGTTGTCGCACGTTTCTATTTCCAACAGCTTGTGCTGGCGGTGGACTACTGCCACAGGCGGGGATTTGCAGTGGGGGATCTCAAGCTGGAGAATCTGCTTCTATCAACCGCCTCGGACCCAGGTGCAACATACCCTGTGCTATGGATTTCAAACAAACTTGGCATGGCTGTGAACGTGGACCCCGAGCAGCAGAAAAGGTGAGGTGGTGGGGAAAGGTGCAGGAGGAGCACACTGTTCTAGATATGGACCACAGACACACGGATTAGATGGAGGCGGGTAACCTATTGGGCAGATTATTCCCAACATGGGACCATGCCTGCAGAGACACGTCAGGAGTGGGCATTTGGGGGGTCAGGGTTTTGGACATGTATGCATTGTGCCTCCCTCTTTTTCGTCTCTGTATTAACGTTCCATATTGGGAACACCTTCGGAAGAGAGAAGGGTGGGGTGGGGGTGGGGGGATGTCTGTGGCATGCTGCTGAAATTGGGCGGCCCCCCCGGGCGGAGTGTAGCACTGGGCCACCTGTTCAGGCACATCCCAAAAGGCATGCTTTGTGAGTGCAAGATGCTGCCAGCAGCATTGCCACAGTTCTGCAGCACGGCATCCCGGGCCAGGATGCCATCTTGAGCAGGGGCACACTCTGCCCTCAAAGTTCACTGTTCACCACAATCCTTGTAGTTTGGCCGTATTGTGCATCAGCCTTTGCCGAAAGTAATGCAACAATCATGTATGATGCTGGTAATTACAAGAATTGCTTTGTGACCTGTGTCCACATATGTGAATATTGACTACACCTGGTGTTGGGCATCTCCTCACCGCATGCCTTACAAGGTGGAAGTAGTTCTCATAAGAGTATTGTTCTGATAGGATACTGCTGAATTGATGGTGCTTTGAATGATATTGGATTCGATGCTGTATTAATCTTCTGCAACTTAATAGGAAGCCATACCCAACGGCCATGAGCTCCATTTGGTAACAGTCTCTGTATTCGGGAATGCAAGCAATTTGTCTCCTCATTTGTAGGTACGGCGACAGTACCTCGGGGAAGATCCCTGACTACACGGCCCCAGAGAAGCTCCTGGGGATCTCCACGAACGGCATGTTGGCTGACGTGTGGTCATGCGGCGTCCTCCTTTATGTTATGCTCGTCGGTCGCTTTGCCTTCACTGGCACGCGGTTCAACAACGTCCCGGTCCTCAGTGCAGTGGACATGCAGGACATCTGTACACGTATCCAGAGATCTGAGTACGTCATCCCCCCGTCAGTTTCTGGTGGCAGCGCGGACATCATTCGCGCATGTCTGGCGGTCAATCCTGACGCACGAATCACCATCGACGACATTTTGGAGCACCCCTGGTTTCAGACGGGCCTTCCTCAGAGGGCGGTCGAACTCAACATCCGGATTCTGATCGAGGAGGCAGAGCGCTAACAACTAGTTATTGTGTCCAAATGGGGCTTGGCTGAGAGCAGGACTCAGAAGTGGGAAGAACAATTACCGATTGGCCCAGATGCGAAGCAACGGCAACAAGACGGACGCTGGCCACCGCTTCTCGTGAGGTTTGCAAGATTGCTGAACACCTGGGTAAGGCACTTTAGAGATTTCACAGGCGTTGGGCAGCGTGGGAAGAGCAAGGAGCTGATATGGAAAGCATTGCAGTACAGCTGGTTTGCTTTTGGGTGCTGGAGGATGCCGCGATTTTCCTGGGACATGGGTGATAGTATCGGGGGACAGCCCGAGCTGACGCGTGCAACTTTTTTAACGATGGTAAGCATTGAATTTTTATAACGACTCCTAACATTTTGTGTTGTTCCGAAGCCAGTTCTGTGGCTTCTATCAGTTGATTTAGCATTTCAGCTGTCCGTAAAAAAGGGAATCGAGGTGGTGAAGAAGGTGTGCGAAATAACTGTTCTATTTCTTTGGGCACGACAGTTACACTTGCATATCCAAAGTGGCGGCATCCTGCATTGACGTTTTTTTTCAGTTGCAACTACATTTGCCAAAATCATGGCAAAGCAAGCCCTGTCACCAAGCTGGCGATGTCGGGCATTGACGTGGGAGACCAAAATAGAACAACGATTTTAGTACTCCAATTCCTGGTCAAGCAGTAAGCCTTTGGAAACTTTAGGAGCCGAAAGCGCCCACTTAATTCCTGGATGCCTGATGTAAAGCAAACTGAAGATCTCTTCAGATTACGTGCACCTTGTTGATCCTTCACCTGCAGCTGCAAATGAATGTGTATATGCGATCTTTCACAGGCAAGACCCTGATGCCCTGGATGCTGATTCGCTGGTGCTCGATGTTCATGTGGCATTGAATCCACCAGAGAGCACCCAGGTCGCAAAATGGTGCCCACAATTTCTTGATGCTCAGGGCAGCCTTGTGGCTGGTATGCACTGAAAGCCCCACTGAGTGGCAATGGGGAAGTTCGTGGTGTGGCGTGATCAGCGTCATGTTCTTACTCTCACTGTTTTCCGTGGTGATATTTCAGCCATTTTCAATCATTCCAAACGCACCTGCTGGGAAGGGCCTGAAGTGGCACTGGGCCTGGACTTCACTTGAGCGACAGTTGTCGACATACCGGAGATGAGCAGGCAGGAACTCAACGGCGACTGCAAGGCATATGCCTAGGCATACCATTGCTCGGCACAATGACATACACGCATGTATGCCATTGTGACGAGCAATGGTATGAATGAAGACGTGTGCGTGTGCGTAGAGTGCAGTGCGAACATGGGCATACATGGCAGGGGTATTCCTTGCGGCCGGCCGCTTCCTGCCCTTCAGTCCTTGTCAAAATTTGCTAATCCCCCCCTCACCCCAACCTCTTCCCCTGTCAACCTCCCACCAATTCCTCAGGGCCACACGATCCCAACCCATGGCTGGGTCCAGTTGCGGGCCGCGATCGTGTGGGATTGAGGAGTATTTTCGGGAACCGAGATAGAAATGCTCGATTTCAGGAACTACGTCATTGTCCGTGCATGTGCAATGCACACATACGCACTGTCTCTGATAGACAGTGGGCTTTAGACATGCCCACAAAGAATGCATATTTTTTGCGTGTCCGCCTACATACGTGCAGTTGCGCATAGTTAGGTGCGTGCCATCATTCGTTTACATTTGCGTTCAGCAGACATATGAGCGAGGCGTCCGTTAACAGATGGATCTTATATCAAGCATCGCCAATGCCATTATGCCTCACCGTTTCAGCATCTCCATTGATATCTGATGTGTTTACCAAAGTACATTTTCAACTGAGGGGGGAACTTTTAAAACTTTCGCCGGTGTTCGGGTCATCTGTGCTGAGCCGTTCAGTTTATTCCGTCAACGGCCACTGCCATTCAATATTTTTGATCTTATTAAGTTAATGCCAGCAAAGCACTCAGGGAGATTGTCGCCACCAGAAACAGGGAAAATTCAATGGCAGAGAGAAAAACAAGTAAAGAGGAAGCAACAACAATCTTCCATGAAGTACATGATCGGCCTATTGCTCTTGATTCGGGCGCCGCCGTGAACAGAACCCCTGTGCGCTGAAGGGCCCAAGTCCAAGATCTGTTGTGTGAGTGACTGCAGCGGCAAAGAGGACAGCGGCCCCCAGATCAACTCCTTTGAAGAAGACAAGGGCACCACGGATGTGGACGGGTCTGGTGTTGATGGCGCCGAGATTGCACAAAGTGAGGACGACAGTCAGATTCGGGCCTCCTCGTCGATGCGCTGCCAAGGTAGGTGTGCAGGGGAACAGGCAACCCGTGCCACAGGATTCGCTCCAATAGGCAAGGCATCTGCTACTATGCACAGCAGTCCGTCCGTCGGTTCGCTGATGCTATGGCAGCGAAACGGTTGGTCCCTATGAGCATTCAAATCTAGAGCTGTGCTTTGAATTCGGATGTGGCATGTAACGTCTTTGTGCAGCGCTGCACAAGCCAGCGACGCAAGTGTGGCATCTACCAGCGTACCTCTGCCGTGTCAAACGGATGCAGTCCAGGCGCTCCTGCTGCAGAGCCGTAATTCCTCAGGCTGATGGGCAATTGAATGCGGTCCCAATCGATGGGAGACACTGCGGTCGCCTCCTTACCCGCAGGCGAAACGGGAAACGGCAAGGGAAACGGGGATGGAGTCGCAGTTAGAAGCAGAAACACTCAAGTTAACGTTCAAAGTGGTGGGCCCATGTGCGCCGCCTTACACGGACTGTTTGTCTTATATCTGGCACAACTCCCAGATGCCGCGTCCCCTTGGTGGCATTACTCCCGGAAGCAATACGAAAGAACCTTCTATGTCCTAGCATACCAATCGCTGACAGCCAATCCGCACCACAATCCCTATTCGAGCCCACTGTATGATACTCCCGACTCCCTGACGCACCAAAGTGACAACTCCCGGATCGAAGTCATTACTCCCGGATCTTTTGAAGTCGCCTCGCCATCCACACGTTCACGCCTGGGCAAGGTGCAGAAACTCCCGATCCTTGCCGTATCATGTCCAGAACTCCCAGCGCCGTATCCAGCTCATCAGACAAACATCCCGGCACATCAATCCCAGGAGCCCAGCGTCAATAATCCTTCCCGGCCTTGACAATCCGCGCCCGGCCTTTACGATCCATTCCCCGGCCTTGACGATCCATTCCCGGCTCTGTCGATCCAATATCTGGCCTTTACGCTCCACTCCCGGCCTTGATGATCCTATTCCCGGCCTTAGTAATCCATTCCCGGCCTTAATGGTCCAATCCGGGAGTAAGGTGGGAGTCCCGGGAGTCATCTCCAAAGGTGCAGTCGCAGGGTGCTAGAGTCGAGAAGAAGTCCTGCTAGGGTCAGGGAGTCACGTAGCAGCTCGAGGGACTCAAAGGGACGTGGTTTGGATTGTCATCAACGATGGTCGCCTGTTCACGAGGTCAACGGAACAAGGGAGTCAGTCATGCAAAGGTTATGCCACTATCAGAAACGGCTCAGTACCTACTCATCATACTTTAGCAGAGTCACGTCATCACGTCCCCGTAAATTGTGCAGGCCACTTCTCAAAATAGGCGAAACAGGAGGGGTACTTAGAAATTCGCCACACAAGCACATGGCAAAACCCCCCGATGACCGACCTCTCTCCAGGTTCAGGTCGTGTTCCTACGGATCTGCAGCGCATCTCGCCTCGTCATTGTCGTTGTGGCTGCCGACATGATCAGCCTCTAGTCCGGATTCAATCACATCTAAGAAGATTCCACTGTGAAGTTGGGGGCGCCAATCGGCAATTCCAGTGTCTTGCTGTGGACTCGGTCTGGTCTTGCCCGTCCAAGGCATCTGGCGAGACGCATACCGATAGGCGCCTATCCAGGCGTACGTCGCGGCTGAGACAGAGGAACTTTGCGGACATCTCTGTACTGGCAACGTTTCGTTTGGAGGCGGCGAAGCTGCCCGGTGCCAAATCCATGACAACAATGCCTGCCTGGGGTTTGGCTTGCGTTTAGGCCCTATCGTCGCCATCGAGACCCGACGTGAGTCGTTCAGCTCTTGTGCAGGCTGTCCAGTGGTGAAAGGCACAGTCAGCTCACTTCGATAGTGGGTTGCCACTGTGCATAACCCAGCGCATCTTTTTTTTCCGATTTCTCGGAATGGTCGCCCAGAAAAGGACATGGCCGTTCGCCTTCTCGCTGGTTGCTACCGCTGCATGTCTTTCAAGTTGTCGAGTTTCTGGATCGAGTTGGTTTCATGAGTTCATTGATCATCGTTTCTGTTTCTAAAAGCGGCATTTTCCACGGGGTTGTTCCCATGGGTTGTCTGCTGAACATTTTAAACAAAGGTGTATTGAAGCCGTGTTCGATCACCGTGGGACTGCGCCGGAAGAGTTGGCGGATGTTGAGATGGTTTTCTCCCTGATTGTGCATTGTGGTTCATGTGTTTTGGGACCCTCCCAAGCACGTTGACGTTGCAGGATTCAATTGTTGACAGGAGGCGTCTGCCTACCCAAAGCGAGGCCAGCCATTGCAGGGCGTCTTGTTATCGAGAGTCAGGAGAACCGAGAAGCTGGTGGACATGGAGGAACAGTCTGATCCAATGTCTGGCATTGAGGAGTCTACGGAACATGCACAGGTGGCTTTCTGTCAGAGATATGATATTCAGCACCCAAAACATGTGGCTGTTTGAGGGCATCGCCTTTTTGTATCTGTTTGTGGGTGAGTCTGTATGTTGAGTGTGGTGCTAAACTGCCTGTGTCATGGAACCTTCCATACGGCACAAAACCTGCAAAACTCATTTATTGAACTCATTTAATTTATTGAATCAGAGTAAATTGCAGCCTTTTCACCTTTTGGCAATGTCACGAGGCCAGTCTGCCAGTCTGCCAGTCTGCCAGTCTGCCAGTCTGCCAGTCTGCCAGTCTGCCAGTCTGCCAGTCTGCAGTCCTTTTCAGCAACGTTGCTTTTGCGCATTACCAGGCTTGCGTGTGATCCTGTTCAAGCGGGCTTGTGTGCAAGAAGTCCAGGGCACTGTGGGTGTATGAACTTTGGATGGGTTCGAATCGGCTTCCTTGCTGCTGGATTTTGTGTGCCACAGTTGAGTGTGATTGTGCCATCCTTACAACGTTTTTTGTGCCTGTTCCTCATTGGTAAGTTGCCTCCTTGAGTGACTAATTGCTTGCAAAGATTGTTGTGGGAACGAAAAAATTAGTGTGCATGGCATGCAAAAGCCAGAGTGCATGCAAAAAATTTCGCAAAAAGGGTGCACAGAAACGGAGATGCATTGTGTGCTATGGCTTGCTTCAACCACTGAGTCAACCCTTAAGCTATGGAAATCACCAGTAGCTGCATAGTCTGAGTAGCTAGATGATGGTGTCCAAATACTCAAGAAGATGCATTTTACTCAAAAAAGTCCCCCAGCAAGCCCAGAGGGGGAGTGGTACTGGTTGTCATGCGACATCCCCTATCAGTGTGCACAACATGGGCAGCAAGGGGTAGGGGGGTTATGTCCAACCGAAATTATATGGAATCCATTGCCGAAAGAGGTCAAAAAGCATACAAGGAGCCAAAACTGTCGCATAGCTCTGGCTTGAATGTGGTTGTCTTGCTTGCCTGTGGCCTTCCATTTTAGCCACGAAAATCAACAGTTCTGCAGGGCTAAATTGCTGGGGTGCATTGTAGTTGTACTGTGAAAGGTTTGACACTTTCAACTGCGTTTGCTGTGCAGTGGACTGGCCCTACCTACAATGTGAGGATAATGGATTTTCTGACAGCGCAACTCAGGAAAGTCCAGAACCTGGAGGAGTCGTCCACAAGCTTGGACTGGTTCCATTTGCAGATCGAAAGGGCTGAGAGAATGCTGTCTAGGCATGAACGTCTTTTTGACCTGTTGGACTACCACAGGACAGAGGATGCAAGATCGGCAGTGGAAACGATATGCGAAGAGCTGAACGATGTCCTGGATGAGTGGAACATGCAGCAGGAAGTGGGCATCGAAGTCAGGGTGCCTCATGAGGGTGTTGTCAGCGATAAACGAGATTTGCGCGACTTCTTACACTATGTTCTGACAGAAGAGGGCAAGGATGGCCACAGGAATGTGCCGGTGCACTGGGTGCTCAGCAAACATTTACATTGGAGAAGAATCCAGTGTGTGGGAATTGTTTGCGAGACCGAGCTCTGTCCTTTGGGAGAATCAATTGGGCTGGGTGGGGGAGCGGTAGTGCACAAGTCAAAATGGGCGGGAGCAGAAGTGGCCATCAAGATACCAGAGCCTGTTCCTGCCTCCATCGAAAAGTGTGCCAGCTGCATCAGGGAGGCCATTGTGCAGGCATCGTTGAAGCAGAATGCAAACGTGGTGCAAATTCATGCCGCTACATTGACTGGTTGGCTGGTGATGGAGTTGGCCACGAGTGATCTGAAGAGTTTTTGTCGCAACAAGTTGAATCTGGGCTGGGCTACAAGACTGAAGCTGGCACAGCAATCAGCTGCTGCCTTGCAACAAATGCATTCCATGAACCCCCCTTTGGTGCATTCTGATGTGAAATCTGCCAATTTTCTTGTTTTCAAGGGAGTATGTGGTGACAACGTGCAAGTGAAGATTGGCGATTTCGGTCTGGCATTTCAACTAACTGAACACAGAAGCAAGACTGTCAGGCTGGGTGGGGGCACACTGGAATGGTTTGCACCAGAACTTTACGATGGCAAACCTGTTACTTTGCAATCAGACATCTTCAGCCTGGGAGTAGTTTTGCATGAAATAGTGACAGGCAGGAAGCCATATGCAGTTGAGCTTGGAGGCTTATGACAGGCCGTTGTTATGAAGATGAAGTTGGAGGAGGAAGCCCCTTGCAAAGTACATGAACAGGACTGCCCAGAAGAGATGATACAGCTGATGAGGCGATGCTGCTCCTGTGAGCCTGATAAGAGGCCCACCATCAACGAAATCTGCAATGCACTCTGCAGCCTCCCAGCAACTTGGCCTGTGAGTAGTCCTGTTTCCTCCTTCCACTCCAGTTTTCATTGACCCCAGCCCATTGTTTTGATTTCCTGAAACTAGGAAGGGGACAGGGTAGAGGGGGCAGCCGGGTAGGGATGTGTGCATGTGCATGTGTGTGTGTTGTTGTTGACTTTGTTGCTGTTATTGTTGCTGCTGTGTGTGTGTGGAGGGGCCAGTTTGGCCTACAGGTGATCGAGCTGCCAGAACTGGTTGGTGCATATGTATGGTATATGGTACCCTTGGCCATGCTTGCTTCATCATTTGTTCTGCTGTGCTGAGCACTGTTGACATTTTCTTGCTGTAGGAAGTGGACACTTCCAGTCAGGGCCTGGCGAGCAAAATCCTTGAGGTTAGCAGATCTCTGTTGAATGGCAACATAGTCATGAGCTATGTCGTTTACCCAAGGCTATAGAAAAAATCATGGCTGGAAATACTGAGAACATTGGAAGCATGTGACTGCCAGCTGACTTGCAAATAGAGTAGTTGCCTATTTCTGCAGTAAACATTTGGCCCCTCTATGTCATTGATATTGTCATCTATTGGTGTCTTCTTGGCCTCTTACTGAATGTCGTTTGCTGCTGTTTCTTGTAGTTGTCTCCCGGTCCTTTTTGTTTTCATTGTATTCAGAATAGACGACTGAAAAAGCTATCACAATCGCGGTGCTCCAGCCCACCTATACGGAGGGTTGCCAGGGGGGGTACACAGCTTGGTGAGGCCTAGCAGCCTAACAAGCAGGCACATGGCAGACGTACTGCTGGAAACCTGGCGTAAGAGGGGTGCACGCAATTGCAAATCCCTGGTATCTGTAAAGCAACCACTGTCTCCCATGAACTGCTGGTTATCGCACAGCTGAAGGGGATAGCCCGCACTTTTTATGGGCTCGGCTGTCCTGAGCATGAAGCCGTGACAGCCCTCGAATTTGCATTCAAACATTCTGAAGGGCATCGCCTTGCTAGTGGGGTGGCATGGCTCCCGTCGATCTCGTCTTTGCGTTGTTGGGGAAGCCAAGAGTGGCATATGCCAGTGCAGTGGGCTAGGTGGCTGGGAAGTGGCTGGAGATGTCTGCTGGTCATGGTGGTGAGCAGCACAGAAGGCTCAAGCAGCAGGCACTTTGCTGCAACTTGCTGATCACACACCACTGATTTCGCCCGGCAGGTCAGGATGGGGTGGTGTGTCGATGTTGCCATTTCATTGAACAGCAGGAAGGTAGAGTGTGGGGATGCGGTGCCCTACCTCTGTCAATGATCTACACAATGGCGATCTGAGTGCCAGGCAGGCTTGCACTCAGCACGTGTTGATAGGTGGCACTGCGGTTGCCAACAGCAAGGCCATAGATTGTGTCACTAGTGGTGTGCACTGGACATAAGTATGATCCTTGCCCCTTTTTCTACTGGGCTGGCACACCACAGGGCCTGTATGGCTGCCCACAACTGTGGATGCAGATGTAGAGCACTCAGTGGTGAATGCCCCAGGTATATAATGGGAGGACACGATGTGGGTTGGATGCGATGCAAGATGCATCGTGAGCATACAGGCAACCAGCCACCTTGTGGAATACAGATACTTCCATCCAGAATGCAGTGCTGGGATAGTCAACTGGAACTGTAACATTGATGCTATGTTACTTGCTTCCTACTGCAAGTGCACACTTTTGCATTCACTGCTTTTCTTACCATCTGTTGCATGTCCATCATTATCCACTTAATACTTGTGTCTCCCTTCAGATCCATCATAACAGACCCCTGCGGACCCTCCGAACTTTTGACTATTGTTGAATACACCTCTTTTTGTTGCTCTTTACCAAAAGGAAAGAAACAACATTTATGCCAATATCTTTGCTTTGTTGTTGCCAGACAATTTTCATCTTATTCAATTTGGTGCATCACATGTGCTTATTGTGGCAAAACATTCAATTCAAGCTTGCACTTGTAGCACAGAGATTTCTGGAGAAGATTTTGTAATGGCACACATCGAATATTCCAGGAAATGGGTACAGAAATGGATATGCAGAAAGTATGACATTTGTAGCAGATGTGGTGGTATATTTTTGAGCTGGCTCAGCATGTCATGCTGCTGCTTGAACTTCTCTACTGCACTTTTTGGATCCAGCAGGATGCGTTGTGAGGGATTGTCTGATGTTGCTGCCCAGGGGACCAGTGGTGATTGTTGCCCAGTAGCCCTGAAGCTTCGTGTTCTGCTCAGGGCAAGCTTCACTGCTGTAGAAAATAAAACTGTCGTACTGGCGTCCATGGGTAGAAAATTAGCCGCAGTGCTGCGGCAATTCACTTCCAAGATGGACATAAAGGACACTGTTGTTCAAGTGGAAGATCCTATTCATGGGTCTGTTGTCTTCCCAGTGTTGGTAAGCATCTAGCACATCCTGATTTCACTTTGGACAACAGCATAAGGTCAGGCTTGTGAGCCTGTTGACCAATGTCTGTACTGTGGGTGTGAACGTGAATGTGACTGTGAATGGCTCCTTACAGAAATATGCTTATCACAAACTGTGCCTGTCCTATTGTGGACCCATTGTGGTTCCATGCTAGGATAGGGTAACATCACACATCTCGCAATTCACCAGTTCATGCAATTTCCCATATCTGCAAGGGACAAGGCCTTGTCCTGTAGTTCCATCGATTAATCTCTGGTCCCAAATTGAGACTCAAAGTTTCCAGGCTCCCAGAAGAACCCCCGAGTTACTATCCAAGGAGCACTGTATCCAGTGATTTCCACAATTGGTTCCCAGTGCAGTGTGTCATCAGTTCATCTTCAATAATTGCACTTGTGGCTGATTGAAAATTGAGAGGGCAAGCATCGGCAGCAGGTGGCTTGTCACCTGGAAAGTGAACATGGGCTGTAAGCGCAGTTAATATGGGTGATGTTAGGCTGGATGTGGTGGGGAATACTGGCCAAGCTCATGATAACATCGTCAACATGGCCGTGGGTTAACACATGCCAGTTCAATCTTACTTTGCATTTGCACCTGGTTGTGCAAGTGCACTTCTTTCTTGTAGCGGTGCTCTCTGCTCATTCTTTTGGCAATGTAAATTGATGTTTTTGATGACTTCTTGTGAAAAATTACTGTCCCAACACATGAGATTATGTGGAATTCTCACTCTACAAGATTGCTTGAGCTTATGTGTGAAAATAGGGGACATCTGCCATCCAAGATGGATTCATGCTCAATCAGTATTGTGCGGACTCAGTGTATTTACTCATTTGTTTGTGGTAATAGGTGCAATTTGTGAGTGAAGATGCTGTTACTTTGTTCAAAGAGAAGATTCAGATGTTTGCTTCAGCGACCTTCGACGCATTTGTGGAGATACTGCCAGATGCACCCCGGCCAATATTGACCATTGTGGAAGAATTCTATTGGGCGCAGGCACAGGCAAGGGAGTGCAAAATTCAGCAAGATTTTTATTTTGAAGTTCAAGTACTCCAGGTATCAGGTTGTGTGCTGGTCATATGCTTTTGGTTAGCTGGTGAATCAACAGCCATCAAAGTGAATGAACTGCGGTTGTGTCACTTATATCAGTGGGGTTTGGTGTGAGCTCCGTCACAGCATGCTTTGCTGCATGCTTCCCTTGTGATTTTGCGAGCCTGTTGGCTGTTTCATGCTTTGACATCGGTTGTGCTGGGCTTTAATTGCAGATGTCGAGGCTGCAAGACGAATTGCAAATTGTCCAAAGACAGATAGGCAGATTCACGAGCTTCATGTACTCCCATTGGATGCTGCGCTTTCTGCGTGAGACGATCTGCATCCTGCGATGGAATTTGAGGAGCATACCAGAGCGCTCTGTGGAAGATGAGTGCAGAAAGGATTTGATTGCTTTGGTGCACATGCTAAAGCTTGCATTGCAGCTTCTCCAGGACCACAAATTTGTGGATATGTATTTCTTGCAGAGCAGCAAAGATACACAAATGACTGTGGATCGCATACTCACTGCAGTCAGTGCTGTAGCATCGAAATGGAACATGCCTGGGGCCAGGATGCTTCCGATTGGTGTGCCTGCCGAGTACCGTCAACACGACAGAGTACATTTGGCTAAGCACTTGGCATTTGTGCTTGGGATCGGGTGCTCTCCCTTTGGGGCAGATTCTGGGGATATCAAGGAAGCATGGGAGGCGGTCAAAAACAGGCTTGATACAAAGAGACATCTGGCCATCATACCCAAGAATGCAATAAGATTGGGATATCGACTGGGAGCTAGTGTGCATGAAGCTTACTGGAAAAAAAGGAAGGTGGCCTCAAGACAGCTCGTCCCAACTGGGGTGCAGGAAATGGACATTGAGGAATTTGCTAAACTGTACGCAAAGACAATTTTCCAGATGTCTGCAGAGGCCAAATATGTTGTGAAGGTGCAGGGAATCAGTAGATCAGGAGCGTTGTTGATGGATTTGGCAAAGTGTACTTTACAGCAGTGGTACCGATCAACTTGTATCCTTGTTGCTGCCAAGATCACCATGTTAACTCATGCAGCAAAGGCACTGCTTTCCCTGCACAATAGTGGCATTGTGTATGTGCATGTGAAGAGCTCCAATTTTCTGATCTTCGATCAGAATGCTGAGGATTATGAAGTTAATCCTGTGAGGCTGGCAGTACTGCCTTCAGAGGATAGTGACTTAGATATGGTTCACAGCACCATACAAACAGCACGCTGGATGCCGGCAGAGCTCTATGAAGGCGAGGCCCCAAGCATGCAGACAGATGTTTTCAGTTTTGGGGCAGTTTTGGATCGAAAAATCTATCTCGGCGCGCTCGCTCGGCTCTCTTAAACTCGGCTAATATCATCTAATATGAATCAATATGTGACTGGGTGTGATATCTCGGCCGACAAATCGGGCGCGGCCGGTGACCACCCGTGAGGAAAGGCGGTGGGGTAACGTCGGGGTTGGCACATCCGGACGGGTTATGGCATGTCTTACCGGACGGTGGGGTTTTGCATATTAGGACTTCGGCCATGGTGCTGTGATTGGTGGCGCTCGCGGAAATGCACATCAATCTGGTGTTTTGGTGGTTGTGAAGCTGTTTATGGGTTTGGGGGATACGATTGGCAATGTCCAATCCATCGTCACCCAGCACTCACACATCATTCACATCAATGAGGTATTTGACTGGCAAGGTGCACTGGGCTTGGCAATGGAGCTTGCCGACCGAGGTAACATGCAGAAGTTCATGATGTCACACAGCAACAACTGTCTGGATGAAACCACTGCACGGTTCTATTTCCAGCAGCTGGTGCTGGCGGTGGACTACTGTCACAGGCGGGGATTCACAGTAGGGGATATCACCGTGCAGAATCTGCTGCTGTCAACCTCCACAGATGCGATGAATGAACGCTACTGGCCTTTTTTCAGAGTGCAGGATCCTGTTTTACGCCATCTGCCCCTGCCAAGCTCCACGGATTCAGATGCAGAGCACCCTGTGCTAAGTCTTTCGAACAAGCTGGGAATGGCTGTGAACATGGACCAGGAGCAGCAGTTGCGGTGAGGTGGTGGAAGCATGGGCAAGCAAGAGGGGCCTGGAAACTGCGCCATGCTGCAGAAATTGGGCTGTTTTTTTGGGACGGCTTGACACTGGGGGCACCTGTATGGGTGCATCTTAGGACCTAAAGATTGGCATCAACATGGGTGCAACGTGTTGCTGGCAGAATTGCCACAGTATGGGAGTCCCAGAGCTGGGTGCCATCCCTAAATAACCCAAAATTACATCACGTTGCCACGGGACTTGTACTGTGGCCAGCGTTGTGTGCCTGCCTTTTCCACGCTTGGTGGAAGGGGTGTGTCATGTATGAGGAAGCTGATCACAAGATTTGCGTGGTGACTTATGTGCACAGCAACTATTGAGTAGACCTGGTTCTGCAACTGTCCTCCCAGCGGATTGCATACCAGGCAGAACTGGTTCTGCTGAGAACAAATTTCTGATAGGAATGACGTGTGCATTATGTTCGAATTAACTCTAAATAGATCCCATGCACATGAGCTGGAAGCAGTACCCAATAATGGCATGACCACCATTCGGCAGCAGTGTCTGTGTTTGGGAGGGTAAGCAACTTGTGTGCCTTTGCTACAGCTATGGCTGCAGTGCTGTGGGGAGTATCCTGGACTACACGGCTCCAGAGAAGCTGGAGAACTCTGTGAATGCCACGTCAACTGATGTGTGGTCCTGTGGTGTCCTCCTCTACATCATGCTCGTGGGTCGCTTTCCCTTCACTGGCACACAGTTTAATCTCATCCCGGCCCTCAGCGCTGCAGAGAAGCGGGACATCTGTGCACGAATGCAGGCCCCTGAGTACGTCATTCCCCCCTGGGTTTCTCACAGCAGTGCGGAAATCATTCATGCCTGCCTGACGGTCAATCCACGTCGCCGTATTACCATCGATGGGATTTTGGCCCACCCCTGGTTTGAGACAAGGCTTCCTTCCGGGGCATCTGGATTGAATACCAGAATTCTGCTTCAGGAAGCTGGCACGGAAGAAACCAGGTAATGGCTTCCTCTTCGTAGTGAGGTTTGGGAAATCCTTGCACTTGACGAGACCATTCTAGAAGTTTCAAAGCCATATGCAGCCAATGGCATGGACCTGTCAGGGAAGGCGCTGCAGGGCTCCTGGCTTTGTTTCACGCGCCGGAGGATACTGCATGGTTCATGGCGCGTTATTGGGTTTTGGAAATTTGGGGATGGCCGAAACGGACACTTGCAAGTGTTCTTGGCGATGAACAAAAATCGATTCTTTTACACAACTCGTGACGTTTTGTTGCTGTTCTGAGGCCATTTCTGTTGCAGCCAACTATTGGCCAGGCATTTTGAATGTCCTCTCAAGAAAGCATGGAGGTGGGGAGAAGGTGTGCGAATACGCTGCATTGTTATTTCCATGGGCAAGATAGTTACCTGTGCTTCAATATCCAGTGTGGCAGCATCTTGCATTCACAGGGGGAATAAAGGATCAACAGAGAAATAGCATCAAATCTGATTCTTGTCTTGGTACTGCAATAGTATTTGGAACCTTGGAGACATCTAAAACGCACAATTCATTTCTTGATGCGTGGCGCCAGGCAATGTGAGAAAATCTCTTTCAGATTAGGGACGCCTTCTCAAACCCGCGCAACTGGCGAAAGCGGTTTCCCGAATGCAGTGGTTTTCTTCGCCTGAAGGACTCTTGGCAGCCTTATTGGCAAGTTCCTTCAGGCCGCACACTGCCACGCACAAGTCCAACCCTTGGGGATCAAGGAACCACCGTCAATTCCCATGGCCATGAACTTCTTTTGGCAGCGTTTCTAAGAGCAGGCCCTGATACCTGCGTATGGATTCACTGGTGCTCGATATCCAGGTGACATTAACGCCACCAAAAAGCACCTAGGGCACAGATTTGCGTCCAAAATTTCTTGAACATGGATGAGGTGCACGTACCCAAAATGTTGCCGATTTGCAAATTCATCAATGGCTTTTGTAATGGAGAACGCAACATAAGCAGATGAAGACGCTGGCAGGAAGCGCATTGTCCACACTTGTGGGGCACTGTAGATCCAGTTTGGAACGAATTTGATACCTGAACACACAGTCAGTTTGGTGATGGGAAAAGATCCTATCCAGCTCACAGTCATGCTCCTTCAAGCAGCAACCCATTTATGCTATCGTGCATCACACGTGCACACGCACCTCAATGCAATAGTTTCCGAGCAATCTTACTTCTACTTCAGTTGACATGATCTATGTCATGCTTGCATGATAACACTCGGTAAGTGTTTTCATCGGTTGACAATCGATAAGGCAGGCAGGCGGGCAGGCATCCACACATTGGGAACTGCAGCCGCCAAAGCCACACCCCTTGCTGCAGATTTAAGAAGCCGCGAGGCACACTATTTCCTCTGGTTTCGATGCCAAGCTGGTCCACCAAATGCGCGATGACGCGTAGATGCAGCTGTGGAGGGGCTCACGTAATCAGCGTTTCTGTAAAAACTGAGAAAATGCGATCGCTGGAATGGCCAGCAAAGCAGCGGCAACCTGCCAAGCCACCCGCGCCACTGGACACTGTGGCTTTAGAGCCAAGAACTCTCCACACAACAGTCCACCGGATGTATCCGAAAGCATATGCAGCAGCAAGGCGCAAATGCACAAATGCAAAGGCAAGGCGCAAATGCACAAGTTCAAATAACTTAAATTTGAGCGTGCTCCATGTTGCTGATGTTACGTGGAAACAATGGTGCTGTGTGACATCGAACCGCTTTCATCATTGTCCATTACGTGCGCGCACCATGACCTTCCATAGCTGATCCAGCAAGACCTTGACGATCGCGAAGAGCTTGCGACAGCTCCCTACGCACTCGAGAGTACGTGATGTCGTGGGCGGTGATCATCCGCTGGTCAGTTTTGGATTTTTCAAGCAATCAAGCAGGAACTGCTGGACAGGCATTCCTTAAAACACCAGTGGGACATATCTGTAGATGGTAAGTAGACTTGCCAACCGTAGCCAACTGGTCAATGCAAACAAATGCACACCCAAACGTGAAGGCGCGAGATCGGTTGCCTGCCCAACTCCTTGAATTTCATTGGTGTTGGAAATTCAGGCAGCATCCTCTCTGTCCCCACTGTGGAAATTTCGTAGTCATCGCGAAATCGCAGGTTAAATGAATATGCAGAGTACAAATCAGGCTCAGAAGTGAATCCCATAATGAGAATGAAATGCAGTGCACTGCGCAATGAGATGCCCATATGGGCATTTTTTCATAAGAATACAACATTGTCATTATGACAGTGGGCATTTGTACAGTTCGAGTCCCACTTGAAACCCATAGGCCCCGTCCATGATTGAATTTAATTAGCCAATCGAATTCCCCTAAGCTGTAATCGAATCAATTCCCGTGGCGACCACCACGCCCAGCTCTCCTCTCAAAATCCCCAGCTTGAGAATCCCCTCTCCTCAAAATCCCCAGCGAGTCTAGCACTTGCACTGGTACCCCGTTTGCCGGTCCTCCCACACGTGAGCGAGGTCCGTCGTGTGTGTGGCCATGTCGCACCGCGGGCTGGCGAACCGACGGATGGACGACCGCGCGCAGTCGCAGACGCCCGCCCTCTTCGACCGTATCCTGCAGCAGGGCCCGTGGGTCCCCCTGCACCGCGGCAGTGCCTCGATTATGAGCGCCCGGATCTCCTCCTCGTCCGTTATCTGGTTCGTCTCCGCTCCGGCGTCTCCCGCCGCGTTCACCTCCGTGGTGCCAGCGGCCTCTGTGAAGGAGTTCGTCTCCGCGGCGTTCTCCTCCTCGACCCTGGAGTCGCCCACGGCGTCGACCTTGGACTCGGCGCGCTCGGGGCAGGCGGGGCCGCCCAGGGCGCGGGCGAAGGCATTGGCGACGGGGCGGACAATGGCCTCCGCGAAGGATTCTTGGGCGGCGACGCCGTAGCCGCCGGTGGTGCAGCCGGAGATCACGGCGTCGGCGAATGCCTGTGGATGTGGCAAACTCAAATATTCAGGGTGGCACAATTGAGGCTACGAAGAGAAGTTGTCAAAAGTGGCATAGAGAACTCACAGAAGAGCATCGGGACTCTTTTTTTGACGTACACGATTTTGAACTTCGTCACGAGGTGTCATGAGGCGAAAATTTTCACTGAGCGTAAGCCTACGGTCCACAATAGGAATAGCAACACACATCACACATGGAATGGAACGCATCAATCAGCAGGAATGTGGCCGTCACTGAGCAATCCAAAAGTCTTCAATTCTTGCATC